TGATTTTCGGTAATTGATTGACTCCCAACAATTATTTCGATTGGTTGACTCTCGTTAGTTGTTGGATTTTGAAGTACTGTAACTGGTTGATTTTCTTCGAGTTCGTCGATTGAACTGATTATTGTTCTAGGTGAATGATTTAAATTCACATTACGCTGAGAACAATTTTGATTAATTGATGTTTCATCCGTTGAATTGCTCGCAGATCTATTTTCTTCAATTAAGAGAATATAAATCATCCTTTTGATAAATATTGAATTAAATTTTATACCGTTATTAATAAATTTCCGAGCTGCTACATAGAAATCATCACCATATTCTTCATTATTTTTAATATTTATTAATTCATTATGAACTTCATCAGGTTGATTAGAAAAACAAGTGTTTTTTTTTATTAATGAAGAAAGAGGCGAAGTTTTAAAATGACGGTGTAGATAGTGAATGTAATTTTCGTCTGTTAAATCAACATTTTTTAGATTTCGGGCTTTAATTTTGGGTGCCATTATTGGAATTAACATAGAGGAAATAAATCTCACTTTCTTTAAATAACGATAAACGAGCAGACGCGTCTCAGAGCATGGATCTAATCAGTACATACACCACCAGCTTTTCTGTATTTAGATTATTCATTTTGTGTGAATCGACATGCATAAAGCCAAATATGTTTATTTATGAAGATGAATTTTTTTGCAACTTTATTATGTGGCTTTATCTTTATCATCTTTCTGCTCTAAAAAAAGATCAAAAATCCGAACTGTCCATAAGAATCGTGGTAATTGACTTACATATAAAAGATTCTATTGGAATTAAACTGTTATGCTGATACAGTATACATCATGTGGCTTTTTTACACTTGGTCATGTTATCGTTATGGCAGTTATGCATTAAGCCAAATTTGGCTATCGCTATATAAAAACCACTTTAACGTTAAATTTTAAGTCAAATTCCGGTTTTATTTATAATACAAAATTATCGATCCAAAATTATCGTGATTTACCAAGATAACCCCCACAAGTGATCGGCAAAAATTTTTATTTATAGAAAATCACAAATTTCACGCA